GTGCAGCTATGACATACAACTATCTACTGGGGCTTTGGGGGGAAAATAAATAAATAAATAAAATCTTAAAAAAAAAAAAAAAAGAAAATCACCTGGAGTTTTATCCGGAACACAAAAGAAGGTCAGAGAGAGGAGGCCCGATGCTGGCAGGTGCCCCCACCCCTGCCCCAGGTCTGGGCTATAAAGAGCCCTGCAGCCTTTGTCTCCAGGCCTGTGCCCTCAGGGCATCGGCCCTGGAAGTTCCTTTCATTTTCTTGTCCACTGGCTTTGGCACAGGTCAGCACAGATGAGAGATGCTGTTTATGTGAGAGCTGCCCTGCCCTTCTCACTTGACCTGATCAGTATCCCTGCCTGGTATCCCCTGTGTGTAAATCCTGCCTGAACCTCTCCCAGGGAGAGTGTGGTTGGTATTCCAGGTGCTCAAAGCATCAGCGCAGTAGCTACCCCCACCTCTGCTGCTGCCACTACTGTACCTGTTTTTCAAAGCTGATTTTTCCAAAGAGAGGAGGACATGTGATTTTTGCTATGCCTTTTGGCTCTGGATCCGTAAGCAGCTGGTGCCCATCAGGATGAGGAGTTGGTATGCTGCCGGTGGACACCTGATCCAAGGTCTTGCTGTTGGGCAGCTGCCACTGCATTTCTGGACACGTCTTCACGCATTCTGTGAGGCAGAAAAAAGACCATCTGCTTTAAGGCTTGAAAGTTTGGGTCATGTATGCTGCCTCCAGCGGCTACTAGGTTTCAGCCCAGCCCTTCAGCCTCATCGTAGCCCCGGGGATACAGGTGAGGGTAGAGACGCCAGCACTGGAGCAGGATTGGAGTAAAGAAGAAACTTGATTAGGTTTTACGTGGCATGCTGTTCATTCTTGCCAGGCAAGTCTGGGCTGACTCCTGCCCCACTCATTGCTGAATCTGAAGAGCTCCTTTTAGGTCAGGCCTTTGGTTACTGGAGGCCTGGACAGAAGCCAGGAAGAGTCCTGGGCCAGAGCTGCTCCCAGAATGCAGGGAGCTCGCTCTAGCCTGCTGGAAAAGCTCCATGAAGTCAGAAATGTTTGGGGGTGTCCAGCATGTCAGCTCCTATGTCCTTGTGAGGAACCAGGCAGATGCCAAGCAGGGAGGCAGCCTTCCCTGGCCCTAGGGACTTCGTGCTGAGGCGTCCTCTCCTTTCTCACAAGAGTAAGTCAGGTGCTTTCTCTGGTGGACATACCACCTTTTACCTGTGTTAGAGGAGGCCTCAGAGTGCCTATGGGAACCAGTTTGACAGAGGAAGAGTGAGAGAACGGTCCTAGGGGTTCCGAGCCCCGGATTGCAGGGGAATGCTTGGATGTCAGGTTACATGGTACAAGGTGCCTTACAGTCGGCGTTAGGCTGGTTTCAGAAGAGAACCCTAAATCTCTTCTACCATGAGCTGACACACTGAAAATTAACCAGAAAGGTAAAAACAGTAAAACCTTGTTTTTAAAACATTTTAAAATTGTTATTGAGATATAATTCACATGAAAAGTGGACAACTCTGTGGTTTTTAATATATTCACCATGTTGTACAATCATCGCCCTAATAGTTTGCTTTTTAAAAGTTACTTTTTCTGAATACAAAAGAAATATGTTCTTGTTGTAGAATTTAAACATTCTGTAAAGCTCCTCTCAAAAACAGTTTTCATGAGAAGCCAGACTGCTCTTGTGAGCTGGGTGTTCCAGGCCTGCACTCGTCACAGCGTGTGTGTGAGTAGTTTGTGACCGGCTGCAGCATGCAGTGGTCTCTCAGAGGAGACCGTCTGAGTCAGGTGCATCTCTGCCTTGGACAGCACTGCAAAGAGCCCACCTGAAAAGCCAGAAGACCCTAAGGACCAACCTCATGGTTTCTGTCCGGACACGGACAGACCCATATCTGCCTGAGCCCCAGTGAGCACATCTGGATAACATCTTGGTAGCGCTTATTAAGAAGGCGAACACAGGAATCTAGTGAAGTTTCTCCTCTCCAGATTTTTCAAGAAGTCTAATCAGTTTATTGATGGAAGAAACTTAGAAACTGGAAAATGTATGGCAGAGAAGAAAGACAATGATTTTATGTTTCTAAACTTCCTGGGTTTTAGTTTTGGGTTTTTTGTTTTTTGTTTTTGCAAAGGAATTTTATTCGTTTCTCTGACCTTTAAAATATTTTTTAAAAAACAACACGTTTGTATGAGATGAATAAACTATTATAATTCGTACTATATGCAAATTATAAATTAAATCATACAAACATGAAATAACCAAAAATAGTAGGAAAAGAAGTAAATGAGTTAGTTCACATTAGCACAAAGGAGATTAAAACTCATAGTAATGCCAAATCAAGTTCTTATTGCCTACCGGATTGTGTGCTGAGTGCCTTTCACTACATGATTTAGTCTTTCCCACAGACATATGAAGAATGTAGATATGTATCCTCATCTTACAGATGAAAAAACTGAGCACAGAGGGTGAGGTAACTTGCCAAGATCTCAACACCCTGAGCCCTTAGCTCCCAGTGGCCCTCCTGAAGTGTGGACAAGACCACAGCCGTGCCTTGCTTAACAACGGGGACACGTTCTGAGAAATGCATCGTTAAGTGATCTCATCGTCATGCGAACATCATAGAGTGTACTTTCACAAACCTAAATGGTATAGCCTACTACACACCTAGGCTCTGTGTACTAATCTTATGGGACCTCTTTCATATATGTGGTCCGTCGTTGACCAGTATGTCATTCTGTGGCCCAGGACTGGATTTCTCTAGAGGTCAGTGGGGAACGTTTCAGGCTTCACAGGTCCAAGCCCAGGGCTGCCTCTTACACAAAGGCCCCCTCCTGCTTTGTGTCCGGGGAGGAAGAGCATGAGCAAGGCAGGCCTGGATCCAGAAGGCTGTGCTGAGTTTCTTGGGTCTTAAGAGAGACTCTAGGTCCACTCAGAACCCCTTAGGTGGGGTTTGAGGATCTCGGGTGACTACAGACCTATAGACAGGAGGGCTAAGATAACCAGGCTGGAGGACAGATAGGACAGGAAAGCCTCTGTCCCCCTGCCTCCTGGGCCGCTCGGTGTGGAAGCACTCGGTGTGTGTGAGTGCAGTAGAGCTGCTTGGCCTTGTGCCTTTGGGGTTTTGAGGGAAGGGCAGCTACAGGGCATCTGTGTCATAGGAGTGGGGGTAAGAACACGCATCCTGGGAGAAGAGTGGAAGCGGAGGCCCCGCTCCGGGAGACCCACTCTTTGGAGGGAGAAGTAGCTGTCCAGAGTAGGAGGAAGTCAGCCCACCCAGCCTACTGATAGATGAACGTAACCGATGCAACTCGCCTGCCAAGAACAGTTCTGTTTTTGGCTAAAAATGAATCCTAGGCCCCAGGTGAGCAGTGCAGTAACACGTGTGTTCCTTCTTTGCCTTCAGTCGTGGGACATTTTTTTCCGAAACACCAATGCCGGAGCGCCCCCGGGCACCGCCTACCAGAGCCCACTCCCCTTGAGCCCAGGCTCCCTGTCTGCCTTGGCCCGAGCACAGCCCCTGGTGGAAGCCCAGCCCAACGTGGACAAGCTGGTGGAGGATCACCTGGCGGTGCAGTCTCTCATCAGGGCCTACCAGGTAAGGTGGTGGCGGCAGCAGCCGGCCGTCCAGCCGTGAGAGCCGGCACCACGCTGACCAGCCTTCTGAGTGAATGCTGTCCTTCACCTCCCCCGCACCCAAGCACGAGGCACTCTCTCCCTGCCCTGGGGCCTAGGGAGGCAGAAATGAAATATGACAAGAGAAAAGGAACTAGTACAGTCGCACTCTGTTTGAGCAAATCCTCTGTCGCCTTTAGTACCTCCTCTGGAAAGAGCTCCTTATTTCTTTCCATACGTTGGCAAGAAAGATTTGTAGGCAGGGAAAGGCAGTCAGCGCCTGGGCATCAGGGGAAATGCTAGTGACTGGGAGGGGTGTGCTGCTCCCTTCTCAGTTGCTAGTGCCCAAATATGGTAAGAGAAAATGAACCTGTAGAGTTTGGGGACAGAAGCAGAGCCCACGGAAACAGGAAGAGGCAAGTGAGGGGCAGCTGAGCCTGTAGAGGGGTAAGGGGCAGGAGCAATCTCCCCAAGAGCATTCCAGTTAGTGGTCGGCCCCATTGGAGGAGGGTTGGGCAGAACGGGGCTCCCCCAGCGTTTCTCAGAGCCCAGGAACCTCTCCCAGGATATGCACCTGGCGTGGGGACGAGCCCAGAAGTCAGACCTTAACACCTGGTCTGTGTGTAGTTCTGAGGAGAAGAGGAGAAATCAGGCCTGGAGCATCCCTTCCGGCAGCCCTGGGGATCTAGGCTCCCCTGCTGCCTCTTCGTGCATTGCTGCTATGTGGCAGGGGAATCACACCCAGTTCTCCTCTCTCCAACACTTTGTTTCCTGGAGGGGCCGTGCGGGCCAGGCGCCACAGTTGTCAGGACAGGCAGCATGGGGAAGGCGGTGGGTTTGTCATGCCAGGGCCTGGCAAGTCAGGCTCTCCCCCCAAGGCAGGTGAAAGAAGACACGTGAGCTGTGTAAATAGCAGGGCCATGTGCTCTCAAGTGCTGTTCACAGTGGACATTTCTGTAGGAGAGAGGTGTGGGGCCTATGTTCTAACCATTGCCTGCACTCATTCAGCCTCAGTAATGTCAGCTGGTCTTTCAGTGACCTCTCTGCAGCTGCTCGCCTTCTCAAATTGCTAGCAAGAAATTGTGGATAAAATATGCAAGACTTAAAGAAACTTAAAATTGGAAGGGATTTTCTTTCTCTTGGTTTTTTAATAAACAGTTCAGATCAGATGCTGATGTCCCTGTTGTAGCCGTCTTTTGTTCTGCCCACTGGGCCCTGACCCACTCGGAAGGACAGCCCTGTGGATAAGATGGCATTTCTCTACCCCACCTCGTACCTGTGCCTACACTAGCACCTCCCCTCCTTCCTGAGGGACAGTTTATGTTCACGCTGGAGCAAGAGTCCCCAGCATATCCTCTTTCCATGTGTCCAGGGAAACTGTAAGGATCCCAAGAAATGGATCCTTTTAGACTGCCAAGTTTATCATAACCTGAGAAATTTTTCCCTTTTTTATAAAAGTGCACTTATGCATGATAGTGCTTTTAAAATAAAACCTTCCAAGGCTTTTTTAAACTGATTTTGTTATTTGGCTTCATTGGTGCTGTCAGGGAAAGGTTTGACTTTTACCCCACCCCCACCCCCACGGCCCGCGGAACCTGCTTAATGACTGCTTGTATTATTGCTTCCAGGTCAGGGGTCACCACATTGCAAAACTTGATCCTCTCGGAATTAGTTGTGTAAATTTTGATGATGCTCCAGTAACTGTTTCTTCAAACGTGGGTGAGAATTAATCTGTAAACGCTAATTTTAATGTAATTTTACTTTTTTTTACCCCTTCCCTCTTTTTTTTCTCCTGTCCTTTTGTGTGTGTCCTTCCCTCTCCATCGCTGGCCCATTCGTAGATACGAGGGCACCATGTAGCACAGCTGGACCCCCTGGGAATTTTGGATGCTGATCTGGACTCCTCCGTGCCCGCTGATATTATCTCATCCACAGACAAACTTGGTGAGGGTCTGAGAGCGGTCAGCGCTGTGCTGCTTAGCTCCTCTCTGTGTCACAGCTTGTGATAGCCAGATGTCCACAGACGGAAGGGAAAGACTCTTAAGTTTCCTTCATTCTGATCACTTGAAATTTATTGGTAATGCAGCCTTAGTGCGTTTTGGGCAAGTTATTTTTATCCCAGCTTTTCAGCCAGATTGTATGAGCTCTAAGTCTCAAAATTGGAAAGTAAAATTTGGGGCAGAAAAGGTTTGTGGCACAGAGAAAAAGATGACCCATCTGGGCAGGCGAGTCAGAAGATATTCCAGAAACGAGCTCTTCTGGCTTCGGTTTCCAAATCTCAGTGCAGTGCTGCCTCTGCCCAGACGAGGCTTTGCTCAGAACTGTTGTCACATGCCATCCACTCTGAAGCACGGTGTGGCCTGCCTTTGACGGGGTGAATTCCAGAGCAAGTTGTGCAGTCGGGTGTCTGGATTCTTAAATGCCGGTGATCACACTGAGGAAACTTTGGAAGGCGTCCCCGGCGTGCAGGGAGGCCCATGGGTGGCGCTCAGGCGGTTGTTGTCACACTCGCCTGCACCCCTCCTCTGCTGTCATGAAGCGCAGGGCGTGGCTGGGCTCGCACCTGCAGCTGCACTCTCTAGTTAATCTGCTCTAAGTCACCGTGCTGCTAACCTTGCTAAAGAGATGATGACGTGACTAATTTTGAAATGACCAGGTTGTTCACAAGAAACACTATGCATGCTAACAAAACTGATGATTACCTACCTGCCTAATGCTGCTCTTTGAGAGGGGACGAAATTCACCTCCTCTAAATAACAGCCTCTAATGCTCTGCAATACCCAAATGCCCTTAAGGGCGTTACCAAGGTATGACCTGGGGGGTCAGACACTAGTCAGGTAAGGCTAGTTTTCAAACAGGGTTGGCTCTGGGACCAGTGTTAGCAGTTTGTCGTTGCTCTGTCTTCACTTCAGAAACACTCCTGGATATTATAGGGTTTCCTCCACTTTGTACCTGCCCTTTGCAGTTTTAGGAAGAAAGATTCAAGAAACCCTCTGGGATATGATTGAATAGGACCAGTTCAGATTGCAGACAAGGCATCAGTTAAATCCTGCTACTTTATTCAGTGGTGACAACTTTGTGCTCCCAAGAAGGAGGCTTCTCCTTGCAGTGTCCCCCGGGCACTTGGAGCCTCTTTCCTGCTCCTCACCACTTAGCCCCTATGCACCCAGGCCCAACAACACAGCATGTGCTTACCTGTCCTGAAGCCCCCTCAGCACCCTGAGTCCTGCTAAGGAGAGGGGCCTGGGACCCACACCCCCTGTGGGGTGTCCCCTCCGGGTGCTTGAGGGCAAAGCAGAGCCCCCCATCTGGGAGGCCCGCGGGCCTAGGGCCGTCTGTCCAGAGAAGGGCCCCAACTGCCAAACCAGCCTGGGCACGGGCCTCAGAGGTTAGTGTTCTGTATACGGCAAAGCCTTTGAACAAGAAAGGCACAGGATAGGTGGAGGTCTCCCTCTCCTGCCGGAAGTGGCATCTCCCCAGTTCATCACCCAGTGGCATCCACAGTGGCCAGTTTCTTGGTATCAAAATGAACCTTTTTTGGTGGTTCTCAGGTCTCATGCCTGGGAGGCCTAAAGCTCTCCTCTGTCCTACTTGAGACTGATCAGGTCAGGACAGAGCCACAGCCGAGGTTTCTTGGAAGTCTCCCCGGCAATCCCAACCTAGCTAATCTGTGAAGGGTGAGAAACCCCAGGCCTGTCGACACTGCCCAGCTCCTCAGTTCACAGCTCTCTTCAGGGCAGAGGCAGGGCCTCCATTGTTGTTTCTAGTTCTTTCTAGGCTATGTCAGCCTTGCCTTACATTCCACTCTGGAATAGTGTCCCCAAGTGTTTGTGCTTCTGTGAGGTTTAGCATCAACACGGTGAGGGTGAACAGGCAAGAGGACATGATAAACCAGGAGATAACACACAGAGGAACTCAGAGCTTCCTGAGTTCATTTGAGGGAGAGACGCTGCATCCTCTGGCCAGGAGCCCTTCAGGACCACTAGGAGAAAGTCACGGAACAGCCCCCTTTTGTGGCAAAAAGTGCATTTTCGTCCTGAGAATTTGAGATAGTGTGGCATAAAAGTTGTGATAAATTCTCTCTTTAGGAAGAAAAAAATGGAAAAAGTATAAACCATATATATTTGAATCTGTAGGAAATTAGTCTTGAATTGTCTCACCTTGATGTATTCAGGTCTTCAAGAAACAACTGACCCCAACATGACCCCTCTGTTCCTGGACACTGGACAGTTCCTAGAGCACTTTTATAGCCATTTTCTCATCCTAACCTCAGGGCCTGGCCTCTGGAACCAGCTCCCTAGGTGGGAGCCCCGGCTCTGCCAGGACGAGCTATGTGCCTCCATCTCCTCATCTGTAAGGTTGTTTTCAAAATTAAATGAACTTCTTAGAAAAGTGCCTGGGGCTTAACTAAGCTCCATGAGGATGTGAGCTAGTGTGATTACTAACAATCTTTTAAGATAAGTAGCTATGGGACTCACTGGTAGTGAGATAAATTCCGAAACTGAGAGGGCCGGCCCCGTGGCTTAGTGGTTAAGTGCGCGCGCTCCGCTACTGGTGGCCCGGGTTCGGATCCCCGGCACGCACCGACGCACCGCTTCTCCGGCCATGCTGAGGCTACATCCCACGTACAGCAACTAGAAGGATCTGCAACTATGACATACAACTATCTACTGGGGCTTTGGGGGACAAAAAGGAGGAGGATTGGCAATAGATGTTAGCTCAGAGCTGGTCTTCCTCAGCCAAAAGAGGAGGATTGGCATGGATGTTAGCTCAGGGCTGATCTTCCTCACAAAAAAAAAAACAAAGAAAGAAACTGAGAGATCGAGCAAATAGCCCAGGGTCACACAGGAGTTAGGTAGTGGTGAAGACTGGTCAGCAACCCGAGTGACTAGGAAGCAGTGTAGCTCTGGTGCAGGAACCTGCCAAAGCAGGGTGGGCTGTGTGGCCTCATGTAGGTCTGGGGTAAGTGAGTGACTGCGGTGGTGTTCTGAGTCACACAGCGGCCTTCCCGGAGCTTGAGTCCCTCTCATGCCACCTCTGAGCTGCCCTTCCCCTCTTCCTGCAGATGCAGGCACAGTTTCTCCATTTTCTTGTGGGGAAACTGAGGCTCAGGTGATGCTCACACCCATACATTTGAGACCCTAGTCTGCTGTTGGAGAAGCACAAAGGGTGGACGGGCAGCACTGGGCAGGTGTGAGCCGTGGGTGAGGGCAGGAAGCTAGCTGTTCCTGAGGGCGGCCGATACTGGTCTGCAGTATGAACAGGGCTGTATCTGCCCAGAATTTGTTAAATAAAGTGGAATATGTGAAATGGTTTCTGCTGAGTTCTTGATCTTTCTGACCAACTTTGAGAAGGCTGGGAAATGCTGGCCTAGAGTCCCTATCCTAACATCTCAGAAATTCTCCTAGCCCCTGAAGCAACAGGTGGAGAGATAATCAACAGGTAGGCTCTTACCTGTCATAGCAGACTTGGCAGACATGCAGAGCTCCTGGGTACTCTTGGGACATCAGGATTACCATCAGACGTTGTGTGCACACGGAACATACTGTGAATGCAGCAGAAGTATTGTTGAGATGGGAGTTAGTCATTATCTTAATTAAAACTTAAGTGTTAGAACAGTTTCTCAATTAGGTGTGCGTTATCTTCCATAATTGTGTGGGTGATTGCTAGGAACAGGGTACCTTTTCCCAGGATGTGTTGTGTCTGGGGCTAGGTTCCATGTAGACCCCAGAAGCACATCTTGATTTGTGCCAGGTTGTACCGTCAACCCCACATCCCGTGGAGGAAGGTTGGGAGCTCCAGCATGAGATTCCCCAGGCACACGTTGCACCACGCGTCCATGGGAAGGCCGGACTGTTCTTCCCGACAGGATCAGGTTTCCTAGCAAGGCCTTTCCTGGTTGGCCCTAAAGAAGGTTCAAGGTGTGGCTATTGACAGAAAGGTCCAGACAGAGTCCTGTGAGGTCGTTGCCATCTTAACTAGAAACAACTTGACCGCAGACGTAGCTGAGCCTGGACACCGTTTTGCCTTAGGGCTGGTGTCCTGTGCTGGCATCCAGGTCTTGCTCCGTTGAGGTAGGGAGGGGGCACTGGGCAGTCTTGTTTCTGGCCCAAGCTGAGCTGCCCTTGACTGGTTTGCGGACTTGGAGAAAGTTCCCATTAACTCTTGTCCTCAGTTTCTTCTTCTCTTTCAAGTGCAGCGTTTGAATTAGATTCCAATTTAAGTGTCATCGTCTGTGGTTTCTGTATAAATTCTGTAGTATAACTGCTCACAGTGACAAAAATGATTGAGATTTATTTTAAACATGATTAAAGGAGAACTACTTAAATTCTATAAATAAAAGGGAGGAAAGCATGAAACTTCTGTTTACCACTGGTGTTTGCAAATTGTCAGTCTTACGAAATGAACTTAAGTAGTTAAAAAGCAAATTCAGAAGTCCAAAATTATGACAGAATTTTAGCTTCTTAAATGAATTTGTTCATTCCCAGCACAGCAGGGGATGAAGTCTCCCCGCCCCTCCTCCTGACTTCTAGAGCGCTCTGGTGTCTGCCCAGTCAAGTTTTGCTGCCTTGATGGCTGCGAAGAATGAGCTAAAAGTAGAGTTGATTTTTAATCAACTTTCATAATTTCAGAGCTATAGAGAGCAGTTCATTTAACATTTATTGGCTGCTGTGTGCAGCGTGCAGTGCCACCAGACAACTGAGTGAAAGGTTGGGATTAGGTTCCCTAAGTGACTCAGGAGGGCAAGCGAGCTAACGTCATGGTGGGTCCGTCCCCTGCAGGGGGTGTCCTCCCTCCTTGCCGCCCAGGAACTGGCAGACCGAGGCACCCCCAGGCCTAGCGTCTCAGCCCTGCTTCTTGCCAGCTATGCGTCGCTTGGAAGCACCATGACTGGATCCCAGCCACTCTTTGCCTCTCCAGCAGAGCATCTTGTACTCATCAAGAAGTAATTTTTAAAAATATTTTAAAGTGCTCAGGTGCTGGGAATCCTGTGTGCTTTCTGTAAGTGATAACCAGAATATCTTCTCTTTCACTCTCCTTTGGTGTGTCTTGTGTTCACATTTTATTTTAAAATGCAAAAAAATAGAGATAAAAATAAAAGCGTGCACATACCCAGTGCTCAGAATGAACAAATGTAAACATTTTATCATATTGCGTTTAGATTTTTTGACAGAGATGGTGCATTTGCAGCTCCCTTTGAGGCTGGGAGGAACTCCACAGGCAGCGCCAAAGGCCACTTGGTGTGATTCTAGGTCTTGATTCTGAGGATTGAAGGAGAAAAATGAAGACTCCTTATTCTTGCTTTAAGCAAAACATCCACACTTTTGTGCAGAACCTGGATATTCTGTTGTCTTAAGAGCCACTGGCTCTAAGATCTTTGTGTGTGCTGTTGTCCCCAAGGCAAGGAGGAGAGCTTTACCCACCCAGAGCAGGAGTCCCTGTGTCCTCTTTGAGTCAGAGTTCTTGCCATCAACTTCCAAGGAAACGTCAGTTGGCCTTCCTCTGCTCTCCCAAGGCAGGGGGCAGCTGCAGTGATGGTGACCATGCTCTGACCACTTAGCCATTGGGCCTTGTGCACCCAGTTACCTTGAACCTCCCTGTCCCCATTCCTGGGCCCACGCACCCATGCGACGAGGGTCAGGAGAAGGTGTTTTGTGTGTCCAGATAAACATCTTCCAGGTGTGGTACAGTGAAAAGCTCATGGGCCGGAGTGTGCAGCTGTGCGTGTGACTCTTGGGTTGTGTTCTCAGCAGCTGAGCTTCTCCATTCTAGTTCTGCCTTCTTGTGTTGGGAGACCAAGACCCACCTTCCATTCTTTAGAATCTGTCAGAATCTTGAGGTTTAGGGTCTGGTCCACTGCCTGATGCTCCAGTTCTGAGGAATGGTACACTAAAAATTGGGCTTTTTCATTTTCTTTTCCCCAGTTTTTTCATCCCAAAGTAGTCTCAGGTGGATTGGACTTTCGAGGAGAGCTGTGTGTCAGCCACTTTGGGATGGTGAAGTGAGGAGGTCTCAGACAATGCCGCCCGATGGCTTCCGAGTGTCAGGGAGCGGCCTTTCCCTCCTTTAGATTCACTATATTCCAGCTGTTTATGAGCGGTTTCCATGTTTACCAAAATAACTCTCAGATCACGTAACCCACCCTGTTCTCCTTCGGTGTCTGTGTCTGTGTGACAGTGTTTGTGCTACCCGTCACTGCGGTAACGGTGTAGGGTTTTGGGTGTTTTGGGGTTTTTTTAAACTAACTCTCACCTGTCTTTTTCCTCTGCGCTCACCCATGCCACCCCACTCTGCCTCTCAGATCTTGCAGTTTTCAAGGAACGACTTCGAATGCTAACAGTAGGAGGTATGGAAATAACGAGCCTTTCACTTTTCTGGAGCTGAGGACTTCATTTGAACAAGATGTGCAACTTTTCCTCGCATGCACTTTGGGGAAAGTTGACACAACTCTGTTAAGTGGTTTGTTCATTGTTTTGAAATACGTTTTTCCCGTCGTTGAGTTATTAACCGACAGGAAGAGCTGCCTAGCGTGTCGTTTCTGTCTCTGGCCATTTTGTGTTCTGAAGAGCATTGTCACCTTCGCCTGTGTCTCACCATTGCTTCGCTGGGCTCCTGTCTTTAGTGTAGGCTGTCTCTAGCGCCTGCTGCAGCCAGTGGGGACCTGAGGCCACACTACATTCTGCATGTTGGCACCCCCTTTCCTCCACATTCTGCGCTGTGCCTTCAACTGGACTCTGGATTCTTTCAGATTTTGCTTCCTGGGCATTTTTGACAAGATTTCCATTTTGATCTTCCCATGTTTGAAGGACAATTGAAGTATTGATAAAAACTTACTTAATGAAGTACGGAATCCTTAATGACCCTTGGTTCTGGGCAGAGCACCTTTGAGGAATCCAGAGTGGGGTGCTGGGGGTCATCTGCCTGTTGTCACTCTCCCCAGCGGCCAATCTCCTTCCATGCCAGGCATCTCTCAGAAGTTCTCTTTTTCCTCCATCTTACTCATAATATCTGTGAGACTCTAGTTTTGATTAAACTTCTTATTTTGAGATAATTGTAGATTTATATGCAGTTGTAAGAAATAACAGAGGTCTCGTGTACCTTTGAGCCAGCTCTCCCGGTGGTAACATCTTGTAAACATAGTGTGTTACCCCAGTGTCCTCCCTGCTGCCCTTCAGCAGCACACCCACTTCCCCTCCATCCCACCCCTGGCAACCACTGTCCTGTTCTCCATTTCTTTTTTTTTTTTTTTTTTTTTTTAAATTTTATTTATTTATTTATTTATTTATTTCCCCCCCAAAGCCCCAGTAGATAGTTGTATGTCATAGCTGCACGTCCTTCTAGTTGCTGTATGTGGGACGCGGCCTCAGCATGGCTAGAGAAGTGGCCCGTCGATGCACACCCGGGATCCGAACCCGGGTCACCAGCATCGGAGCGCAAGCACTTAACCGCTAGGCCACGGGGCCGGCCCTCCATTTCTAATTTTCTCATTTCAAGAATGTTATACAAATGGAATCACAATATATAACGTCTTGGAATTGGTATTTTTCAATCAGCATGATATTCTAGAGTTTCATCCGGTTATTTGTAATAGTAGTTTGTTTGTTCTTATTACTGAGTGACATTCCTTGCCATGGGGCTCCCACAGTTGTTTTAACCATTCGCTCATTGAAGTATCTTTGGGTTGTTTCCATTCTTTGGTTAATACGGTCTTGGGCAGAGCAAGTTTTAGATTATGATGAAGTCCAATTTATCAGTTTTCCCTTTTATGGATCTTGCTTTCGGTGTCAAGTCTAAAAACTCTTTCCTTAGCTCTAGATCGTGAAGATTTTCTCATAGTAAAAGGTTTTATAGTTTTGCATTTTTACGTTTAAATGTGTGATCCATTTTGAGTTAATCTCTGTATAAGATATGAAGTTTAGGTCAAAGTTCTTTTTTTTCTTTTTGTCAAAAATCAGTTGGACTTATTCATGTGGGTCTATTTCTGGGCTCTGTGTTCTTTTCCTTTAATCCATGTCTGGTGGAGTCTGTCCCTCCACCAGTACCACACTCTCTTAATTACTGTAGCTGCTGAACTTTATTTTCCTTTTTCAGAATTGTTTTGGCTGTTCTAGGGCCTTTTTCTTTCCATATAAATTTTATTTATTTTTTATTTTTTTGTGAGGAAGATCAGCCCTGAGCTAACATCCATGCCAGTCCTCTTCTTTTTGCTGAGGAAGACTGGCCCTGAGCTAACATCCGTGCCCATCTTCCTCCACTTTATGTGGGATGCCGCCACAGCATGGCCTGACAAGCGGTGCATCGGTGCGCACCCAGGATCCAAACCTGGGCCGCCAACGGCAGAGCGCGCGCACTTAACCGCTATGCCACGGGGCCAGCCCCCTCCATATAAATTTTAGAATAAGTTTGTTTATGTTTACAAAAAATCTGACTGACATTTTGGTAGGAATTGTGTTAATAGATTAGATCTATTTATAGATCTATAGATCAATTTTAAAAGAATTGACATCTTTACTATATTGCCTTCCAATCCACGATACGGTCTGTCTCTCCATTTTTTTAGATCTTCTTTGGTTTCTTTCATTAACTTTTTGTAGTTTTCATTATACAAGTTCTGTACATATTTTGTTAGATTTACACATAAGCATTTCTTCTTTTTTTCTTTTTAATTTTAGTGTCCACGTATTCATCACTAATATCTAGAAATACAATTGATTTTTATGTTTGTGTTGTGTCCTGTGACCTTGCCAAGGTCACTTATTCTAGGACTTTCAATTTTTTTTTTTTTTTGTAGATTCCTGAAGATTTTCTATGTAGACAATCATGTCATCTGAAAATAGGAACAAATATTTCTTTCTTTCCAATCTGTGTGCCTTTTATTTCCTTTTTTGGCTAAATGCCCTCGCTGGAACTTCCAGCACTATGTTAAATAAGAGCAGTAAGAATGGGCATCGCTCCCTTGTTCCTGATCTTAAGGAGAAAGCATTCAGTCTCTCACCATTAAGAATAATATTAGCTGTAGATTTTTTTGTAGATGCTCTTTATCAGATCGAGGAAGTTCACCTCTATTCCTTTCTTTTGATAGTTTTTATTATAAATAGGTGTTGTCAGATACTTTTTCTACATCTGTTGATATGATGATGATTTTTCTTCTTTAACCTGGTAGTATGGTGGATTATATTGATTGATTGTCAAATACTGAACCAACATTGTATTACTGCCATAAACCTCACTTGGTCACAGTATATATTTCTTTTTGTATATTGCTGCATTTATATATAGGTTTCCCCCACTCTCCGAAAGTAGAGCATTCCTGTGAAACCTTTTGTAAGCCAAAATCGTGTAAAATGAAGAAGCAATTACCATTAATTTATATGAGAAAAGTTTTTGAGTGTTCCCAGGCCCAGAAAATAACCTACGAAAATAAATCAAGCTAAAGCGTAGATGCTCACAGACAGCTCAAAGCTATGGCAGCTTAATGGTGAGTGTGCTTCCTGGGGAAGGAGCTTGGCAGCACCACTCTCACTGCTCGTGGTCCATGCTGCCTATAAAACAGCTCGCTGCAAAACAAACAATGCTATTTTTGCTTTTCAACTTTTTTTAATAAAAGGGGAAATCCTGTTTGGATTCCTTTCAGTTAACAAAAACAAGTACTAATGTAGGTCTTTTGTAAAAGCAAAGTGGTATAAAGCAGACTTTCAGATAGCAGGGGAAACCTGTATATATTTTCACATCTGTGTTCAAGAGGGATATTGGTCTGTAATTTTCTGTTTTTGACTGTCTTTGTCTGCTCTTGGTATCAGGGTAATCCTAGCTTCATAATGTGAGTTGAGAATTTTCCCTCCTATTCTGTTTCCTGGAGGAGATTGTATAGAATTGTTATTAATTCTTCTCTAAACATTTGGTAGAATTTTCCAGCAAAACCATCTGGGTTTAGAGATTTCTTTTTCAGAAGCTTTTTGCTTATTAATTCAATTTCCTTAATAGTCATGAGGTATTTAAGTTATCTATTTCATATTGGATGAGTAGTGGCAGTTTGTGTTGTTGTAAGGATGGTTCATTTCATCTGAGTTGTCAAACATATGTATTTAGAGTTGTCCCTATTATTCTCTAATTGTCTTTTTGTATCTGCAGAGTCTATCCTGATGTCCCATTTCATTCCTGATATTGGTAATTTATGTCTTCTTTGTTAGTCTTGTTAGAGGTTTCTCAATGTTATTGAACTTTTCAAAGAACCAGCTCCAGGTTTCGTTGGTTTTGCTCTCTTGTTTTGCTGTTTTGATTTCATTGATTTCTGCTCTTTATTCTTTCCTTACTTCTGCTTTCTTTGTATTTTTTTCCCCTCCTTTTTCCAGGTTCTTGTGGTTGGAGCTTAGAGTACTGATTAGAGACTTTTTCTCTTTTCTAATGAGTGCATTTACTGCTCTGAATTTCCTTCTCAGAACTGCTTTAGCTGTCCCACAAACTTTGATATGTTGTATTTTCATTTTCATTCAGTTCAGTGCATTTTTTTATATCCCTTGATGTTTTCTCTTTAACCCATGGATTATTTAGAAGTGTGTTATTTAGTTTCCAAGAATTTGGAAATTTTCTGTTTATCTTTCTGTCATTGATTTCTAGTTTGATTCCATTGTGGTCAGAGAATGTGTTCTGTATGATTTCAATTCTGCTAAATTTGTGAGGTTTTTGTTATGATCCAGTGTATTGTCTGTCTTGGCGTATGTTCTCTGGGCATTTGGAAAGAATGTGCTTTCTGCTCTTGTTGGGTGAAATGTTCTATAATTGTCCATCAGATCCTGTTGGTTGATGGTTGTTGAGTCCTTTTCCACCCTTGCTGATTTTCCATTTACTTTTTCAATCAGTTATTAAGAGAGAGGTGTTGAAGTCTCCAACTATAACTGTGGATTTGTCTATTTCTCCTTTCAGTTTTCAGGGTTTTGTTCACATATTTTGCAGCTCTTGTTTGGTGCACTCACATTTCAGCTTGCTGTGTCTTCTGAGTGGATTGACCCTTATCATGATGTAATGTCCCGCTCTGCCTCTGGTAATTTCCTTTGCTCTGGTGTCCACCTTATCTGATAATAATACAGCCCTCCTACTTTGGTTTGATTGTGTTGATATGATATATGTTCTTCCATCCTTTTATTTTCAGTCTATCTATATCATTATATTTGAACTGAGTTTCTTGTAGACAAGCATATAGTTGGGTCCTCTTGTTTTAATCCACTTTGCCAATCTCTGTCTTCTAATTGGTGTAGTTTGATCATTTATATTTAATGTAATTATTGATATATTAGGACTTAAGTCTACCATTTTATTCTTTGTCCTCTTTTTTATTTTTCTGCCTTCTTTTTCCTGACTTCCTATGGGTTTTTAAGCCTGCATTTTAAAATTGCATTTTTATTTATATATAGTGTTTTTTGTCACATCTCTTTGTGTTTTTAGCCTTTTTAGTGTGTCTAGGTATGACATTATATACACATAACTTATCACAATCTACTGGTGTCATCATTTTACCAGTTCAAGTGAAGTATAGAAACATACCTCCCTTTATATACCTTCACCCTCTCCATTTATAGTATAATTGTCTCAAATATTTCCACTACATATGTTTACAACCACATCAGACAGTGTTATTATGTTGCTTCAACCATCAAACATCATGTAGAAGACTCAAAAGGAGAAGGAGGGGCCGGCCCGGTGGCGCAGCAGTTAAGTGCTCGTGCTCTGCTTCGGTGGCCCGAGGGTTTGCAGGTTCAGATCCCAGGGGCGCACGGATGCACTGCTTGTCAAGCCATGCTGTGGTGGCATCCTGTATAAAGTAGAGGAGGATGGGCACAGATGTTAGCCCAGGGCCAGTCTTCCTCAGCAAAAAAACAGGAGGATTGGCATGAATGAGAGCTCAGGGCTGGGCTTCCTCACAAAAAATAAATAAATAAATAAATTGTCAAGAGGAGAAGGAAAGTCTATTTTATTTATCCATATTTTTGCTTTCTATATTGTTTCTTCCCTCCTGATGTCTCAGATTCCTTCTGATATCATTTCCTCTCTGTTTAGAGAACTTTCTTTAGCCGTTTATTTAGGGTGACAGATTCTCTTAGTACCCTTCATCTGAGAATGTCTTGACTTCACCTTCATTCCCAGAGGATATTGTCGCTGGATATAGGTTTCTGGGGAGACAAGTCTTTTCTTTCAGCTCTTGAAGTGTGGTGCCACTTCCTTCTGGTTCCTTCCTCATGGTTTCTGATAAGAAGTCCACTGTCGCTCAAGTTGTTTTTCCCTCTAAGGAAGGGGTCATTTTACTCTGGTTGCTTTCAAGATTTTATCTTTGTCTTTAATTTTCAGAAGTTTAATTATGGTGTGTTTTGGCATGGTTTCTTTGGGTTTATTCTGTGAGTTCAGTCAGCTTCTTGAATCTGTCAGTTTGAGTCTTTGCCGTGTTTGGGAAGTCTTCTGCCGTCATTTTCCGAGTCCTTTTTCAGCTGTCCTCCTTCTCTCCTGGGATTCATTGACACAAATGTGAAATCTTTTGTTAATAGCATCACATGTCTCCAAGGCTCTCTTCGTATTTTTTTCCAGTCTCTTTTCTCTCTGCTTTTCACATTGGGTAATTTCTATTCTGTCCTCAAGTTCACTAATCCTCTGTCCCCTGATTCTGCCATTGAGTTATCCACTGAGTTTTAATTTCAGTTACTGTATTTTGCAGTTTCAAAATTTTCCATATGGTCCTTTATATCTTCAGTTTTTTGCTGAGACTTTCTATTTCTTTGCTGAGACTTAATTTTTTTTCATTTGTCTCTGTCGTATTCTAATTGCGTCTGAAATTATTTGATGATGGTTCCTTGAAAATCTTAGTCAGATAATTCTAATGTGTCATTTTGGTGTTGGTGTCTGTTGATTATCTTTTCTCATTTAATCTGAGATGTTTCTGGTTCTTGTTATGAGTGACTTTTTTTATTGAAACCAGGACCTTTTGGGTATTGTGAGACTTGGAATCTTATTTAAATCTCTGTTATAGAAGGTCTCCTCTGAACACTGCTCTGGTAGGGAGGGGCCTACCTAGTTACTCTCAGGTGGGGATAGAGGTCATAGTCCCCCTAGGTCTCCACTGACATTAAAGTGGCGCATTACCTCCCGTGGGTGGGATGAGAGTTTGGGCTCCCTCTTGGGTCTTCTCTGAAACCTTAGGGTGGGGGTTGGAGGTCAGAGCGTGTTGCATCTTGGTGAGGGTGTGGTTGGGGCTACAGTGTGCTCTGTGTGTTTGGGTGGAAAAGAGCAGTTATTGTCTAAAAGTGTTCTGTCCTGCCAGGCTGCCCCTCTCCTGGATGTTTAGAGAGAGCAGCTTTTGTTGGGGCTTGTTTTTTCTGCACCTGTGGGAGTTTCTGGGTTGCTGGTTCTTTGCTCCAAGCCTGAGATATGAGACGGCCAAAGGAAACCCAGGGACCTCCTTGGCTTTTCTGCCTTCTCCACCTTTCGGAGTCATCTTATTTGTTTTACATATGTTGTCTTGGTTTTTAGTTGCACGTAGCGGGGGAATAGGGAGGAATATGTCTACTCCACCTTCAAAGAAGCAGGCATCTGTAGATTTAATTTCTCAGATAACTGAAGAACACAGAAGCAGCACCAGTGGTTTTGAGGTTCAGCAGGACGGCCCAAAAATGATCTGTTCAGGAAACATAGAACCGCACGTTTGGTGAGGCCAAGGGCTCTTCATGCTGAAAGGTTGCAACAAGCCCAGGTTCTCTTCTGGGGCACGCTCCTCACTGGTTAGCTTCCCAATCCAGATGTTCCCAACAGAGTGTGCAGTCTGGATACGCTGGTTCCTTGAGCCCTGCTGCTGAATGTTTTCATCAACTACGAAAAATGACCCCCAAATGATTGTGGTTTTCCTCCATAAACACCACGAGCTGGGCTGTGAGTGGCCAGAGCCTTGCGCTTCACCAGGCCCACAGGATGGCCATCTTCATTCTTGATAGAATAGCAGCAGGAAATGGGCATGTAGGCTTAACCAAGCCACTACTGCCATCACCACCCCCAGGTAAACAAAGCCAGGTTGCCTTTGTTTTAATAAAACAAAAGTGACTTGAAAAATGTAGGATTTGCTTTTAAGACTTAAAAAAAACACGTATCCTTAAGCATTAGATAAATAAAGGCTGTCAGAATAGGAACACCCAGGGAGATTCCTGGCCCACCATGACCACTTGAGTCAGTTCTTGGGTGGGAGCCTGGACGTGCATTTTTACAAATCTCCCATAGATTCAGATACACTGAATGCAGTTGTGTTTGCAAGCGACTGCTTGAGTCCTGTACAGGGCCCTTATGTCTTATTTACACTTAATTAGACCAGGAAACAAGGAAAGGATCTGATCTTGCACAGCCAGGTGTTGGAGATTGGAGTGCTCGTTGAGTTTCACTTTTCGTCCTGGCGTCTGGGATGTTGGTGTGAAGTGATTCTGAACTGCACCTTTGCCTGCCTCCAGCAGGTATTTTGTTTCAGGGTATGTGGGAGCCTAACCTACAGTGTCACCTAACCGTTTTCCTCCAAGTCTCTTTTCCCCTTTGATAGTTACAGGCATGCGTCACTTATCGACAGGGACATGTTCTGAGAAATGTGTCGTTAGGTGATATCATTGTGTGAACATCATAGAGTGTACTTATACGAACCTAGATGGTATAGCCTACCACACACCTAGGCTGTGTGGTACTAATCTTATGGGACCACCATCATGTATGCGGTCCGTCGTTATGTGGCGCATGACTGTATTGTGACATGAAACAAACGTATAATCCCTGAGAGCCCTTCCATCACGTTTTTATCAGTTTGAAATAGGCTTTCAGATGAGGAGGTGCCTTGCACATAGTCAGTGCTCCAGGAAATATTAGTGAGTAGTCAGTTAACTAGTGAGTGGTTAGTTAGTTAGATAATGATTAGTCAGTTGGTTAGTGATTAGTCAGTAAATATCTGTTAGTACTAGATTGGGAAGAGTAAGAATTAGATCTGTCACTGCCAAGTACTGTCCGGGGAATTGGTCTAGAATGTGCGATTCGAAGTACTTCCAGAAGGGTGCTGTCCTTCTTCAGAGGTCAGCTGTGTGACCCTCAGCCCTGCTCCCCCACAGACCACTCAGCTTCTCAGTGACTGTCCCTCACTCCTCAGTCTCCTAGCTTCCTGTCACTCGCCGCATACGAATGTTACCACCATCTAATACGTATATGACCTATTCTGCACAGCTCCTCATTTTCTACTTGAATTCCCTCCTTAACTATTTTTCATTTACTTTCTGATTGACTTACCCAGTGCCTTTTCAAACCCAAATTGCTTTGTGTCTTTGGGACCTTGAAATACATTTTTCTCTAAATTATGAATAATTGATGCACTGGACTAATTATGAATTTTATTCTCACGTACCTATAATGCCCAGTAATATTCTCAGCTTTCGTTTGTTGCTAAAGTTTGTGTTTCTGGCTGTAAAATATTATTTATTTTCATATATATCAGAGGTTTTTATGATTTTTCTCTTCTCTTTTCTCTCCCCTGGGGAGTCCCTTCCCCTTTCCATAAACTGTGGCCCCCGTGTGGCTGTGCCCGTGTCTCCTCGCCCCGTAGGGTTCTACGGCCTGGACGAGTCTGACCTGGACAAGGTCTTCCACCTGCCCACCACCACGTTCATCGGGGGCCAGGAGTCGGCGCTTCCTCTGCGGGAGATCATCCGGCGGCTGGAGGTAAAGAAACACAAGCTCAGTTTCCAGAAAAGTCTAGTGGACTTGGTGAAAGCATGTGTTGGCAGGAGGCCACCAAACTAGGTTGTTTTTTTCTTGGTCCTGTATTTTTAACAAATATAAGGGAAGGAGAGCTTTTTTGCTATTTTGTAGATAGAAATCCATGTTTTTACAATCAGCCATAGAAAAGAGAAAAAATTTCCAATCCCGGTGGGAGTTTGTTTCAGATGTGTGGGGTCCCCAGCTTGGACTAGCCAGCAGGATGCCCGGTGGTGCCCCAGGCCCAGACACAGGTCTGTTTACTTGCTCATCCTCCCTGCGCCTCCATTCTCCTCGTCCTTCTCGCATTTTCTTTCTTCTCCTTCTCCTTTCTGGACTTGGTCAGCACTAGTCTGCCGGGGCCCTCCTCCGCACACACGGCAGCTGTGTGTCAGCATCTCAGCTTGGAGCTCCCTTGCCTTCATCACTTCTAGGTTTGTGGGGAAAGAGAAGTGTGGAAACCTGGTGACCTAGTGCCAACATCAAGAAGGAGTGGGCAACAAGGAGGTGTGGGCAGGGTCAGCTGAGGGGATTGACCTTTGGACCTGTCCGTTTTCCCTGATTTGTAGCCAGTCTCACCACTTTGACTGTAATATCTAGACCTGCTCTGTCCAAATAGTAGTCATTGGCCACATGTGACTATTGAGCCCTGGAAATGTACAAAATATCTGAATAACTTTTTAAATATTGAAAAGATAATATCTTGACATATTGGATCAAAGACTGAGAATTAATTGCTCTCTTTCTACTAGAGAACTTTCAATTACATGTGTGGCTGACACTGTATTTCTGTTGGACATTGCTGATGTAAGAGTTCTCCTATTGTCTAGACCCCAGAAACGGCACCCCATGTAGATGTCATTTGTCAGACTTACAGCCCTAGGCTTGTGTGTCCCATCCCATTCCCTTGGTTATTTGAGATTTATCTGTTTGTCTGGAAAGCGGTGTAATTAAACCAGTCTGCACTAAGAGATGAGTCTGGGCACCAGCACCTCCTTCACACAGATAGTCTCCAGCGGGGAGCTCAGCCCTTGTAGTTAAGCCTTCCTGCCTAATTGGAAAGACTTCTGGAGGGATACCATCCCGACAGCAAGCTGCAGTTGTCCCTCATCCTCTTAGGTTCACCCTTCAGCATGTTTCCTTCCTGGAGTGCCCCCTGTGGTTAACTTGCTCTAAATCTCGAGTCCCAGGGTGCTCTGATCCCGGCATTTGAAGGGGGCATAGAGCCCCGTGGCTCTCACTTTTGCTGTGCCGGTATCAGGGCCCAGGAGTTGGGCTCTTACTGTATGTGACAGTTGGACCTGAACTCCAGGGGTCCCAGCCATAACACCTCCTGTCCCCAGAGCGCCCCAGGTCCAGGGCTTTTCCGAGAGAGCTTCCCATTCTGGTCAACCCAGCTTAGAACACCCCATTCTCACGGTTTACAGGCACTTGGGTACACTTGCCTGCTGATAGTGCATTACTTATGTTTACATATGATATGGGCATGCACTAGATCACTGCTGGGATCTAGAGCTTAAGGTGTTTTGTTGGTCCCATGACATAATGATCAGCTTGCAGCTCTTTGAAAAGTTAGAGCAAGTGTGACATCTCGTCTTCCTAACATTTATCCCGCTAGAGGGAGAAGCTAAGAATCAGCCCCTAAAACTTGCTGCCTATTTCTTCTGGGGATTCAGCCGAGAAGGACCTGGTGTCAGGTCCGTGCCTGCCACTGGAATCCCAGGCACATCCTCCCCCTGCACTGTGCCAGCCAGCTTCCATGCCTGGTGTGAAAACCGAAGGGGCTATGGAGGGAACCACCAAGCAAAACCCGGCGCTTGTCAGTGTGGCTGCTGCAAAGACCTTTAAAGGCATTTTTCAGGGTCTCTAAAATCTCTTGCCACACTGGGGCATTTCCTTAACTCCAGAGCTGATTCAGGGTTTGCTATTGGCCCCTTGTTCTGACCCCAAGACAGCTGGCAGGTGGAGGGGGGAGAGGAATGTTAGTCACTTGGCTCAGGAGAGCCGTGGGTGCCTGCAGAAGGCTGCCCGGCACGGTCCCAGGGAGAGGTTTCCAGAGAGCTGGCCACCCTGACGCTGAGCTCTCCTCTGGCCGTCCTGTTCTGTCTGTCACTTTCATTTCCTTTCCCACTGAGCCCCGCTCATGTCTGAGCTCCTGCCTGTGCAGAGCTGTTCTGCACATTGCCCAGGTCACCCTAGGTTTTCCACAGGATGCACAGCTTCCTTCCCAGCTGCGATGTGAGAGTGGTGGTGTGGGAAGTGCCTGCTCTGTTCAGGACCCTTTGTTTTGTGATATGTGCAATCGTGCTTCTGTAGGACCTGACGTTCCCAAGAGGAGTCAGTACTAAAAGTAGAATTTAAAATCAAAAGCCCATGACTCTAGCCATTGAGCCGTGTTATCCACTGGCAGCACGGGGCCTTTCTTTCTTACGGCACTGGGCAGAGTCTGGCCTTGTCCCCCAGCTGGCGCATCCATCCTCCCACCACAAAGGGACCGTGCCTTGATCTAGCGGTTCTCACTGTCCCTCCCTGCTCATTGGGCTGTGCACCCTGAGTCCCTGGAGGAAGCATTTCGTGGCCGTGTTGGGAATACAAGGAGGTTGCTGGCCCAGGCCTGGCACTGCGCTGCATCTCTGCCCTGGGTACACTTGAAAGGAAGGCCACCTGTCCCTCTCCGCCTTCTCTGTGAACATCCTCTTGGTTGTGCGTGTGTTTGTGTGAAACAGATGGCCTACTGTCAGCACATTGGAGTGGAGTTCATGTTCATCAACGACCTGGAGCAGTGCCAGTGGATCCGGCAGAAATTTGAGACGCCCGGAATCATGCAGTTCACCAATGAGGAGAAGCGGACCCTGCTGGCCAGGCTTGTGCGGTCCACCAGGTGTGGGGCTGCGCTCAGGGTGGGGCGTGGAACACGCTGGTCCTGTCGGTGTGGCTCGGCCTGTCAACCAGGGTGGGTAGGTTTGGGGTGTGGCTGCAGCCTCACGTGAGTGGCATTGGCCCTGGGGACATGGCTCTTCAGAACGGCTTGGTTCCCATCCAGGTTTGAGGAGTTTCTACAGCGGAAGTGGTCGTCCGAGAAGCGCTTTGGACTGGAAGGCTGCGAGGTGCTGATCCCTGCCCTGAAGACCATCATCGACAAGTCCAGTGAGAACGGAGTGGACTATGTGATCATGGGAATGCCCCACAGGTAACTGCCTGGCCCCACTTGGCAGCCCTGCACACAAACAAAGCACAGGGCAGGGCGCCGAGCAAGCAGTGGGTGGAGCTCGCCTGGCACACAGTTGCATCCCTGCACTAGGATGACCGTCACCACAGCATCCCCCTTACTCTGCAGTCACTGTCACGCCAAAGGCCACAAGTGGTTTCAGACAGACGTCTTGACATTGTGCTGCATCTTATAAAAATTAAACCCGAATGCCCTTGCAAGGGTCACAGCAGAGGGAGGTTAACCTGGAGGGAAGGCTGCTCGGTGATGGGGAGTGGAGACCACAGCTTGGGGGAGGCAGCGGAGGCCAAGGACGAGCAGAGGCTGGGTGTCCCACAGCAGCTGAGGTCTCAGCTCTTCTCGGGCTGCAAACTGAGGCCCTGCTGTATCCTTCGGGGGAAGGAACGGGTGGAACAGCGTCACCTGTTGCCTGGGGCGCTGCACTTGGGCCCTGCTCACCTCCTGTGTGTCCCAGGGGGCGGCTGAACGTGCTTGCGAATGTCATCAGGAAGGAGCTGGAGCAGATATTCTGTCAGTTCGATTCAAAGCTGGAGGCAGCTGATGAGGTGAGGCACTCGTTTCTTTTAGAAACTTCCAGCATAGCTCCAGCCCACACAAGACTCCTCCACTTGTTTCTTGGGAAAGATTTACCGGAGGATGAGATCTTTCATACCTCCATACCTTCACAAAGGAGGCAGCCAATTGCCGTCCTCTCAGAGAAAAGGACGGCCACCAGGTTGGCGGCCCAGTAGCCCCCACAGTCCTCCCTGCTGGAGGCGAGGACCTGCCCCTCTGGCCAAGGGACCTTCTCTCTGTGCCCTGGGTGGGAGCCATCCTGGGACAAAGCCTTCCCACCCTTCCAGAAATGGCGGTTCTGGGAGTAGAAATAACACAGTACAGGGCTGTTGTGTCCTGCCCGGAATAAAGACTCAGTGTTTGTGCTGTCAGGGTTCTGGGGACGTGAAATACCACCTGGGCATGTATCACCGGCGGATCAACCGTGTGACTGACAGGAACATCACCTTGTCGCTGGTGGCAAACCCTTCCCACCTCGAGGCTGCCGACCCCGTGGTGATGGGCAAGACCAAAGCCGAGCAGTTTTACTGTGGGGACACAGAAGGGAAGAAGGTAAGGCCACAGGGGCCAGACAGTCCATGGCAGGCTCGCAGCCCTGGGCACATCTCAGACCTCACGTTTCTGGAAGTTAACAAAATATTGTGAATGGAGTTTGAAAGAGTAGCGGTAGTATAGTAGTCCTGCTTACAGATAGGCTGTCTCCCACGTTGTGACTGCTAGAGCTGGGTGGGGAGTGGTTTGCCTTCATCATCACCGCATCTGCCGAGAAGCCAGGCTTGCAAAATAGCATAATGGACAAAGAGGCGTTTTCACTGAACAGGAGGAGAGAGTCTTAAGAAAAAGATGTGAGTAAGCCTGAAGGAGGAATCGTAAAATTGACAGATGTGAGGAGAGAGGGTGGCGTTGATATCAGGGTGGCACCGTTTACAGATGGAGCACAGCTCAAGGTCTGGGTGGCCTTGGTGGCGGCATTTTCCAGGTGTGTGACAGTGAATGCTGAAAGTTTGTTGGCCAGCCTGCTTGTGTATAGAAATCTTCGATGGATTCTGTTTGTCCTGTTTAATCTCAAGATAGAAGTCGGTCTGTAACAAATTGTATCGTTCTTAGTACTTAATGATGACCTCAAAGCCAAGCAATCAGAAAATCAAGTGTTTGTGAATGTGTGCGTCTCTGTTCTGGAGAGTATACAGTCAGCATCACCGCCTGCTCCCAAGCACCTCTTGTTCTTCCTGGAAATAAGGTCATAGGTAAGGAAGCTAATAGAACCTGCACAGTGGGACACAGAGCTGCAAGTGAACTGGTAAAGAACTTCAGAAGAGGGATATGTCGGTGTGCACTAGAGTCGGAAGTGGAGTAAAAGACAGTCAAACCTCATCGACAGAGCAGGCAGTTGTTACATTTAATTGAAGAAACAGCAAGATTGAGGTAGGCAGAACAGAAAGAATGTTCTCTGGAGATGAGTGAGAGATGGGGCAAAGATGGAGGTGGGTTGGGAGGCACTGTGGCCAGAGTGGGGAAGAGGCCGGGGTAGGGGGCACCCAGGGATGCCCTGGAGAGGGTCAGACTTTTTAAAGGTGAAACCAAGTATAAGTTTACTGAGTTCTGTAACTTCAAATACTATAAGGATACTATTACTAGGCTTGGAGAATGAGAAGAAGGGAAACTGCCATCAGAGGTGAAGGGGTCCGGGCGGGGGGTGACATTGGGAACAGGAAGTGGTTCCTGCATCGATGGACACCCGCCACAGAGAGAGATTGTGGCCCGTGGGAGGATGTCGGGACGTGGACGTTACTCCCATGGGTTTGGGGGCCTGCACAGTGCCACAGAAGCTCCAAGTAGATGGAAAGGGGCCTCCCACGCAGCCCCCAAGACCACCAATGACACAGTGGCTGGGGAGGGGTGGGGAGGGGACCAACGTCGCTGACTAGTGCCTCCAGCATCTCCACTGTCCTTGTAGAACATTTGCAGTCGCATAGGGGAACGAGATTGCAGAAAACTGTGTGTGACATCCACATTCGTAAATTACAGACAAAAGGCCACTCAAGCAGTACTCACTGGGAATGCTGGCAATGTCCCGAGAAGGAATGAAATCACTAGAGAGAAGTGGTGGAAGATATTTAAATGCTTCAAATGATCGCACCGATCGGTCCAGTTGTGGGTTGCGAGGCCGAGGGAGGCTGGTTAGCCCTGGATGGTGGCCAGACACTTGTCCTAGGGCGTGTGCCTTTGCCCAGTGTGGACAGTCCGTCCCTCAAGACCCCCAGCCCACCGCTCTCTCTGAGCCGCCCGACCCGCGCCCATCCTCAGTAGCGGGTCCAGACTCCACCAGTCCTTCACAGCTGCTCTCCTTGCCACTCTTCTGAAACCCCCAGGCAATTATCTGATTTCTGTTAAATCCAGAATTCAGGGAGCTGGAGTATGTGTTACATAATTTTCGGCATTTAAGAAAAACTACTATAGTAATTTCTATAACTGTGGCTGAGGTTGTTCTATAACCTGGTGCAAGATTGAACCCGACCCAATTTGGCTTAAGGCTGATGTGGCCTTTGGGGTATCTGTGTGGGAAAGCAGCTCCCCGGTGCAGCAGGACGACCTGCCACAAACAGCTGCTCCTCCCAGGGTCCAGATGGGGCCACTGGGGCGCCGTCAGACACAAGGAGTGCAGGGTGGTGATTTCAGCAGCCAGCACCATGCTGAGGGAACCACCGGGACAGCCATGCAGCCTGATGCTGGGCGAGTATGGCTTCACCAGAAGATCAAGAGAAGTAGCTCAACGAGAGGGGAGACTAGGCGTGAAGTGTGTTGACGGAGAAGGTCAAGATTGTGCAGAGAAGAAACACACACAAAGGCCATCAAGAAGAAAGTCTCCTGGTGACTTTCCTGCCCAACAGGGGGCCCACCTGGGACCTGGCAAAGCTGCACCCCTCAGAGGAGGCCCGTGTGCAAACCCGACACTTGTGTCCACTGTCCACTTGAGCTCTTGAGTGTCCCTGCATCCACCAAAGCAGGACACATGGAGTTCTGTTAAAATCTAGGTTTTGTCCCTGGGAAGCACGTTGTGGACCTTCTTTTCCTGGCATGGAGGGCTCAGTGTACTGAGATTCTGGGTGGTGGTGGGAGCTGAGGAGGCCCAGGACACACAGCAAGAGGGGTAGATGGGGTGCTGAGCCAACCTTGCCTTCCTGGTACGAGGGTCCTGTGTGGCATGTTCAAAGGTGGTGGGCATCGACTCTGCAGCAGACGACAGGGTGGTGGGTGTGCAGATGTGGAGCAGAGCCACCCAGCTGCTAGCAGGTTGGGGAAGCTGGGGGGTCTTTATGCTCTCCTGCCACTTTCTTTCTAAGTTTGAAATGATCTCAAAGCACATTATTTTTTGAAAAGCAGATTGTGACTTAATCTCCAGAGCACCTTGTGGACACAGCGGTCAGGAGTGTGTTGGATTTGGGGTCTCCTTTGTATGTCTACAGGTCATGTCCATCCTTCTGCACGGGGATGCTGCATTTGCTGGCCAGGGCATCGTGTACGAGACCTTCCACCTGAGCGACCTGCCTTCCTACACAACTCACGGCACCGTCCACGTGGTCGTCAACAACCAGGTAACCTGGGCTGGGCTCCGAGCTCTGGGTGGGCTCCGGGGTCTTTGTGGCGGAGGAGGCCGCAGACTTCACAGCATCAGGTTTCTGATCAGACTATCTCCTGAGGGTTCTATCTCACATCATTCTTACTTAGAATGACATCTCTTAGTTATTTAGAACATTTGTTGTTTCTGATTAGAAAAATATGTCTATTATAAAAAACTTGGACAACAGAAAACTTTTTTTTTAAGTTGAGGGATTTTAATTACACTAAGTTAATGATATTATTTTAGAATATTTTCTTCTAGACCCACAAACATACAAATGGCTTTTCTTTTTTAAGAAACTAAGGTTCTATATACACAGTTTTATATCCATTTTTTTACCACATTGTTTTCTCATGTTATTATATACTCTTAAAATATTAATTTTAATGAAAACATCCATTATAAGTTGTTTCATAAAATAGACATTGCCGTGTTAGTCTAATCCTAGACTGCTAGGATTCTCATTTTTCGCTGTTTTAAATAACGCTGTGATGAACATTCTTGTAGGTGACAATTTCTGCCCAACTCCGATACATATCGCTGTTATAGCTGTCACTTCCTCCACCAGCCATATCCGAGGGTGTGTCTCCCCAACTCATGTGAACTTTCATAGATCAGATATTCAAGTGCCTTTCAGTACAGGCACTGTGCTAGTTACCAGGCAGAGAAAGGGCAAGCTCCTGGCCCTCGAGGAGCTTCTAGTTCAGTGTGGGGACAGGGGACCTACCAGGTGTGGGCTTAGTCAGCAGGTGTTTCTCTGAGGGTTGATCTTTAAGTGGAGATGAACAGTGAGGTAGGCAAATGTTGGGGAGCAGCAGATTGAGGCAAGGAAGGGGTCCGTGTGTCCAAGGGAGGGGATGAGGCCATCACAGCTGAAGTTTGGTTAATGCAAGAGAGAGCAGCCAGTGGCCAACTTCCACAAGGCCCCCAAGGAAAGGGCTCTTACTCCAGATGCACTGAGGCCACCGGCGGGACTGAAGCAAGGACATGACTATAAGATACAGTCTGATTCATAAACGTGATTTGTTGCTACATGCAGAATGGGTTAGAGGAGGACAGAGAAACAGTTGCAGCTGTCCCAGCAAGGAGTTGAGAGGAAGAGGGGAAAATGTAAACATTAAGGTAAATGTGGTCGTTATGTAGTAAAGGCTGAGGAGCTCAAAATGTAAAAGGTCAGACACAAAAAGAGGCAAGGAATGTTACCGAGTATGAATATAACACACAAAATGATAACAGCTACCATTTATTAAGTGCCTGCTATGTGCCAGGCACTGAATTAGGCACTTCACATACATACTTAGTCCATACTGTTGTTACCCTGCAGAGGGTGGTGTCATCTCGTTGTACAGAAGAGAAAACTGAGCAAACAGACTGAATAACTGGCTTGAGAGCCAGTATTTGATCTGCTTTCTTTCAAGGAACAATATTAGGAAGAGTTTTGAAAAACTGCCAAGGAAAGAGAAAGGTCTAAAAAACAAACAAAAAAGAACAGTGGACTCACTGCTTGTGAGTATGGGCTGAAATAATAAAAGGAGAATGGTCTTCAATCTGCAGCAAGTACAGCAAAGATCATTCACAGAGACTGGAAGCCCAAGATAACACAGGATAGTTTTTTTAAAAAGAAAAATGCTTTTCCATGAGTACTCTCCAGACTCACGTGAATTCCATCCCAGGAGATTTAAAATGATAATTTACTCAGATGGCAGAACCTACTTGGTAATCTCTTATGAATCTTGGCAAGTAGGAAAGGTGCCCAAGACTTCTAAATTTTTTTAAGGAATAAAAAGGATAGATTCTAGTCCCTGGAAGAGGATCTGAATAGATTCTCAGCCTACGAGGGCCATATCCCTGTCATGGAATGCCACCCAGGCCCTTGGTCAAGTGTTTCGTTACGTCGTTGTGCACACGGTTGAGAAATATGATATGGACAGTGGTGTAGCCATGTCTTCTTACCTGATTTCATCACACCTACTGGAAAGCTCTGCTTAATGGGTTGGTGGCAGCAGCACACAGTTTTCCCTGTGGCCCTGGCCGGCTCAGCACTTTATCAGTGACAGGTGGAGCACAGAGAAAGCTGACCCAGAGCCTAGGAGAAGCGCTGTTGCGTATTGGAATCAGGATTCAGAACTCTTAAAGTTCAGAATGTGGAGGCACAATCAACAAGATTAGGTCTAGAGACGAGTGTTAAATCAAACATTAAATGTTTTATTAGTTTTTTTATTATTATAATTTAATGGTAGAATTCACCCATTTTGCCATGGTATGGTAGAATTCACCCATTTTGCCATGTAGTTCTCCGAGTTTTGACAAATGCGTATAGTCATGTAACCATCATCAAGATATGAGAGTTTAATCACTCCAGAAAACGCTCTTCTTCACAGCCCACCCTCTGGCAGGCACTGTGATTTTGCCTTTTCCAGAGTGTCTAATAAACGTTGACCTACAGTCCGTGGCCTTTTGAGTCAGGCTGCTCTCCTTCAACATAACCCATTTGACATTCATCTGTGTTCTCGGGTGTGTCCATGGCTTGTTCCTTCAGTTGCTGCATGGCACTTGGTTGCATGGTTGTAGCACGGTTTGTTTATCCATTCACGCGTTGAAGGGAATTGGGATTGTTTCAGCTTTTGGCAATTACGATTAAAGCCGCTGTAAACATTCACATACAGTTTTTGGTGTGAACATCAGTTTTTCTTTTTCTTTGTAAATACCTAGAAGTGGAATTACTGTGGATCATATGTTAACTATATGTTATACTTTATAAGAAACTGCCAAACTATTTTCCAAAACGTCCGTACTATTTTGCAGTGAATGAGTTCCACTTGCTCCACATCCTTGCTAGCTCAAGGTATTGTCGATATTTTTGTATTTCAGCCATTCTGATAAGTGTGTAGTATCTTGTGTGGCTTACTCTGTACTTCCCTCAAGACGAAAGATGTTGAACACCTTTTCCTACACAAACCAGCCGTCTATGTATCTTCTTTGGTAAAGGAATCTTTCGGTGTTTTCCCATTAGCAAGGGAGGCTATTTGCTTTATTAAAATTTGAGAGTTCTTATAGATTCTGGATACAAGTCCCATATCACAGATGTGTTATACAAAGATTTTCCTCCACTCTATGGCTTATCTTCATTCTCCTACCAGTATCTTTCATGGAACAAAAGTTTTTTATTTTCATGAAGTCCAGTTTATGAATTTTCTCTTTTATGGATCATGTTTTTGGTTTTGAATCTAAGAAAACTTTGTCTTACCAAAGTCACAAAGATTTTCCCCCTATCTTCTAGAAGTTTTATAATTTTATGTTTTATATTTAAATCTGTGACATATTTTGAGTTTTGAAGTTTTTTTTTTTTTTTTTTTTTTTTTTTAAGATTTTATTTATTCAGTTTTTTCCCCCCAAAGCCCCAGTAGATAGTTGTATGTCATAGGTTCACATCCTTCTAGTTGCTGTACGTGGGACCCGGCCTCACGTTGGACGGAGAAGTGGTGCCTCGGGGCGCTCCCGGGATCCGAACCCGGGCCGCCAGCATCAGAGCGCGCGCACTTAACCGCTAAGCCACGGAGCCGGCCCTGAAGTTTTTTCTTGCTTAAAGATGTCCAGTTGTTCCAATACAGTTTGTAGAAGGAATTATTCTTTGTTGAAAATGAATTGTCCATGTTTATTTGGGTCTATTCTGATTTTTTGTTATTTTCCATTGATCTGTGTGTCTGTCCTTTTGCCAACACCACACTGTCTTCATACTGGAGATTTATTGTCAGTCTTAAAATCAGGTTGTATGAGTCTTCCAACTTTGTGACTTTTCAAAATTGGTTTAGCTATTCTAAGTTGTTTGCTTTTTCATATAAATTTTAGAATCAGCTTGTTGATTTCCAGAAAAAGGTAGTATTTTGATTAGGAATGTGTTGAATCAATAGATCAGTTTGTGAAGAATCACAACCTTGACAATATTGAGTCTTAATCTGAGAGGACAGTAAATCTCTCCGTTTATTTAGATTTTCTTTTATTTCCTTCATAGGTATTTTGCAGTTCTCAGCATACAGATCCTGCATGTTTGTTAGATTTATACCTAAATATTTCATTATTTTGGAGCTATTGTAAATGGTACTTTTTCTCATTTTAATTTCCAATTATTTGTCACTAGGATATAGAAATACAATTTATTTTTGTATGTTGTACACTTTGTTTTTTGTGTCCCACAAGCTTACTAAACTCACTTTTAGTAGTTTTTTTGAGGATTCTTAGGAGTTTTCGTTGTAGACAATCATGTGATCTCAAATAGAGACAGTTTTATTTCTTCCTTTCCAAGCCTTGTATTTCTTTTTCTTACCTTGTTGCACTGGCTAGGACCTCAACACAATGTTGAAATGGTGAGAGGGGACATCCTTTCCTTGTTCCCAATTTTAGAAGGAAAGCATTCAGTCTTTGATTATTAAATATGATGCTATCTATAGGTTTTTGTAGATGTCCTTTATCAAGCTAAGGAAGTTCCCTCTGTTCCTAATTTGTGGACAGTATTTGTCATGAATGGATGTTGATTTTTGTCAGATGTTTTCTGCATGTATTAAGATGATCATATGGTTTGCTAATGGTGAATTCCATTAATTGATTTTTGTTTTCTTTTCTTTTGTTTCCTGAGAAAGATTTGCCCTGAGCTAACATCTGTTGCCAGTCCTCTTCTTTTTTTTGCTTTTTTTGCTGAGAAGATTAGCCCTGAGCTAACATCTGTACCAGTCTGTCCTCTATTTTTTGTACGTTGGACACCACCACAGCATGGCTGGTGAATGGAGTAGGTCTGCGCCTGGGATCCAAACCCGAGAACGCAGGCCACCAAAGTAGAGTGCACGGAACTTTAACCAGTTCAGCCATGGGGCTGGGCCCCATTAATTGATTTTTCAATGTGAAATTCTTTTGTCTGTTCGTGAAGGATGTTGGTCTGTGGTTTTCTTGTAATGTCTGTCTGGTTTGGGTATCAGGGGA